GGTAGACTAAATTTTTTGATAATAATATAGAAAAATGCATGCATAATCATTGAGTCGAAAACATCTGTATATATATATTGCTATGAATATTCATAACTCTTTCAGTAAATGAATAAAAATGTTAATACTACGTTGGCTATGATCCAAATTCCGTGAGAATAATGAGAAAAATACAAAAAAAAAAATTCACTAAAAATATATATCTCATTAGAGACTTTATACGTAATACTATGGGAACCCCACAAAATTCTACTTTTACAAATACATAATCATTCATTATGAAGAATAAAATATTAAATTGTAAAAAAAAAATATTTTAGAGGGGATACATGAGTAACATCAGAGTACTCATATAGAGTAACCTCATAAAATATAACAATTAATATTCAAATAATTTTAAACAATTAATATATTATAATATAAAAATGTAATAGAAAATTTATCTTTGGAGAAGAGATATGATATTGGAACATATCATAAAAACGTCTCTATTTATAGAATGACCATTTGATTTTTCTTCATTCTTCTATGTTTGAAGTCTTATATAATAAAGTTGGGTTTTGTCCCTTCTTCTGCGGGAAAATAAGCCACGTGGCAAGTAAATTTACGTCTTCTAATTTTTTTTCTTCGGTGAAAGCAGATGATGATTGAGCTTTTGTTTTCATTGGGCTTTTATAGATACATCAGTTTGGCCCATGTTTGGTTAGGGTTTCCCTTATACGTCAGTCTCTCTTTGTTATCACTCTTCTTTAACTCCGTAACATACAGCTTCCCAACCATAAAGAATCATTAATATTTTATTCAATTTAGAAACTACTCCGACAATGCTCTTTTGAACTTCCCCAACTTTCTACATATAACAAAAGGATGGCACAAATAGTTTCCACCTTTTATGAACTACTAAAGAACTACAAAGAAACCTACGGACAATCCAAAGGTCTTTTCAACCTTTAGTTTGGTTATAGTTTTTAATGTCACAATAAACTCCAGACCGCATCTTCCCGTTGCAGATTTTTTTATTGCCACTGACGCCAAGCTCAGGCGTAGCCAAACCTCCTCTCTGGCCACCACTATATGTTCAATTTCTTTACGAATCCTCTACCGCACTGCCACTTTGTTTTCTTCACCATTATAGATTCCCATTCCCACCAGCTTATACCATGTTTTCTCTCAGTTCTTAATCAATGTATTCTCAGTTATTAATAACCTGATTGTCTTAAATCNACTGACGCCAAGCTCAGGCGTAGCCAAACCTCCTCTCTGGCCACCACTATATGTTCAATTTCTTTACGAATCCTCTACCGCACTGCCACTTTGTTTTCTTCACCATTATAGATTCCCATTCCCACCAGCTTATACCATGTTTTCTCTCAGTTCTTAATCAATGTATTCTCAGTTATTAATAACCTGATTGTCTTAAATCTGAAAGGTTTTAGGAGCCAAGGCACATTTCTGTGGAACCATAATAGCATTTGAAGCTACGGTTTTAAAACCACTCCAATCTGGTTTCAGTGACGACCACCTAAATCTACTGAATCCTCTCATTTAAAAGAGAGTACAACGAAAGTCTTCTTAAGTAGGAGAAGCTACATCATTATTGAAATGAAAAGGTAATTTGAATTTTTAATTGTTTTCTTCGTTTCAATCCTAAAAAAGGAGTAAAGTGAATTTTTGTTGAAGAAGCTCTAAAGCTTTTGCCTATAGCTTTGACTCTCTTCGAGTTGGCTTTCTGATTTTGACGCTACCTCTATTAGTTTGGGTTTAATTGTTTCTTGCAGGAGGAAGGTGCGAGTCCCCTTGCACCAGATTTTTGGAGCTACTTTGTTACTACTCGATGATGATTACACGGGAAAAGACAAAACGGTTTAAGCACAAAACTTACGCAGTGTATTGATTGTTTGATTTACCTTTTGTTGACGTGGTTGTAGGTATGTTCCCTCAAAAAAATAAAAAAATGGTTCCATGCTAAGAAGATAGATAAGGAGAGACGAGCAGTCATTACTGAGTTTTATAATGGTATATGGCTCTGGCATGTAGTTAAGCGACGACCAATATTTATACAATGTAACTAATCAAGTGTCACTAACCAATGTCGATGAAAAATTTGTTTTTCAGGTTCATGGATTTATAGAAAAGGTTCCAGCACGTGCTTTATGCTTGTGGTGTGAACAAATCACTGAATAATATGGCTTTAAAGAAGGAACTAACGTGATCATTGGAGAGGTGTGTGTGAGTTACTCTGAGTCTTTGTCTGTTTTAAGTGGTTTAAATTTGGGGATTGTAAATTTACTATCGTTTAAGTCTGTGTGAATAGATTGAGTTGGTGTGGTATGACTCGAACAAGACTTTTACAGACTCAGTTAGATGGCCTCGATGGAATGAACTATCTTAGTCTTCTTATGAAGTGTTTCGTATACTGACCTGAGAAGTGAATCAGATGTCTTTTCCAGTTAATTATTAACCAACAAGTTGCACATCACTGAATCGATTTGTATAAATGTTGTCTCCGTACAGATATGTATGTATATATGCTTAATTAGAACAGTTTCAGGTAGACATGAACTAAATAATTTTCGTTTTCTTTTTTTTTTTTCTAAACTTGAGATATGTTATATGGTCTGCAGTTGATGAGAGTTTAAGAGAACAAAATAAGTTGTTTTAATACCTTAAATTATTCCAAATAAAATTTCTATTTATAAGTATCAATCAATTGGGAGTCAAGGGCCGATATACAAATCTGATTAAGAAAAATTGGATTGTTTCTTTGTGGCGTATCTATATTGGATCAAAACTAAGAGAAAATTGTAATTTATGATGTTTTTCATTCTTTAGTTGTTGCTCTTTCACCTATTTTCTTAATGAAAGAACTCGCAGCTAAGAAAAAAATGGTTTTTGATTCAACTCTAATGTCAAATTTTTATAAAAGAAGAATATCAGGATTAAATCACACATGGAGTTGAATAAAACTCACTTTTAACTGCATCTTTGATACAACAACTGGATATATCATAACTGTTATGATACTTACAATATTACATGTTTGAGGCTGAAGGGTTTGTTCCTAAGTTAAGAAATAATGACATGTAATTTGAGAACATCTCAAGACTTATATAAAATATTATAATAAAATATGACTCGAATGCTTTTAGAATCTAAAAACTAAAGATGAAATTTTTTTCACCAATTGATTGATATCTCTGAAGATGAAATTTTTTTGTCTCTCATACTTACATCTCTAAACATCCATTTTTTTTTATTTTTTCTTCACTGCTCTCATTACTCAAATCTTTATTTGTTCACGTTTATAGATTTCCCTTTTGACTTATATAAAATATTATAATAAAATATGACTCGAATGCTTTTAGAATCTGCATACAAAAATAAATACAAATATAACTGCATAATACAAATATGTGGCTATATTACAAGGCATGGACATTGATGGATGAGGTAAATCAAATCTTAGGTAAGTTAGCTAATACTTCCTTTGTTACAGTTTGTTGCATATTTTAGTTTTTTACATATATTAATAAAATACATAATAAATGCATAGTTTTTTTGTGATTATCATTTTCCTATAAATCTAAACCAATAATAGTATAGTTGATGCTTTTATTTATAAAAGAACTCAAAAGTCTGAAGTAAGAAAATAAATTTGTGTCCACCACCGCCTATTCTTTCACTACCATTCAGATGCATCAGACGAACATACTCAGATCCTAAAAACTGCATTGCTCTTTTAACTCTTTCATCCATGTCGAATAAAATCTAATATGTTTTTATTTCCTATTAACATAGATATTTAACTTAAAAAGGTTTATTGAGAAAATTTCTCCTATAAATTTATTACACGAATTTATAGATTGTTGAAGTTTTCAAATTCTTACACTGGCAAGCACGCCAAATATCATTTTGTTGCTATTGATATTTTCACGACTAAAAAGCTTAAAGATATTGTTCCTTCTTCCTACAATTGTGATGTAAGTCACTGTCTTCTAGCTTCATCCCATTTTGTCATGTTTTAAGATATGTTATGATCTGATTCAGATTTGGTTTAGTCCTTTTCTTACAGGTTCCCTATTTGAACCGTGTTGATCACCAATTGATTGATATCTCTGAAGATGAATTTTTTTGTCTCTCATACTTACATCTCTAAACATCCAATTTTTTTATTTTTTTTCTTCACTGCTCTCATTACTCAAATCTTTATTTGTTCACGTTTATAGATTTCCCTTTTAACTATACTGGTGTTACTAAGGACAACCTAAATTTTTTCATAGATAATAATCTGAGCACTTTGATTAACTTATTATCTTTTCATGCACATGAATAGTTTTTATTTCATAAAATACAATTTGTAATGCAGATGAAGAATGGATTCGAGGATAATAATGAATTTTGTCTCTGTAAAAGTGGTGAACCACAATCAATTGGTGCAAAAAAGAGTAAATTTCATATAACATTAGAATCTTGCATGTGCCCATGAGTATTTTCATCATTAATTAACAAACAGAAAACTCTTTTCTTTCTATCTCATGGCTCATAATCTTTTAATGAAACTTTGTTATCAGCAAACAAAACATGCATTACAATTTATACAGCAAACCAGAAAATATATTAACAAATTTTAATAACACAAATTCCAAACAATCTGCGCAAAACCATAACTCTCTAATTATTCGTCTTCTAAAACTCTCAAAATTTTTCTATATAACAAAGGCACCTCCCTAGAAAGCAATCATCCTAAAAAAAAAAAAAATCACAGACTCATAACGTCACGACGAAAGATCTCTCTCTCACCAATCGAAATCCTCCCAAAGGATATCCAAAGCGAAATCATTTCACGTGTTGTTAAGATCTCAATAAAAGGCCTCCACAACGTCATGATCACAAGCCCTACTCTTTCCGAAGCTTCCGCAGATCCTCAGGTCTACAAGAACATCAATCTCCACATCCTAACAGTCTATCCTATGGCATCACTTTGCAGCTACAAATAACTTATGGAACGATTCCTTTCCACCAGAAACTTGCACGCTCACTACATACGTGGGATACAAGAATATTTACATAAGAACAACATCGGTGTAGGGTTGCCACATATATGCATCGCGGCAGAAGGTTTGTACGAAAACACAATTTTACATTTACGGTATAATAATATTGTGTACTGGAGAACAAGAGATCGGAAAAACGATGTTGGATTCACTTGGATGGAGGGACAACATGACACGCGGAGACACTTGCTGGAAAATAAAAAAATCCCTGCATGGAGTAAGAGTCACAACCCTAGACTCTACCATGAATGCATACACAGCCGCAAGGGAACCTATCACATGTCACCGAGAAGAGATGCACCTTCGCTTGAAAGCTGCTATTATTACAAGCAGATCTACAAATTTACTTTTATTGCTTAGGGAAGTTATGTAGCTCCCTAATCTCATATACCTATTTCCAGATTTAAAACTAATAAAATTTCTCCCTTCTATACGACACTAGAGCATAAAGGTCAACCTCTACAAAACTTCTATAAGACCTAAAGGAAAATAAAAAAAATATTATATATATCTGTAAATAACAATATTGCGTTACGGCATCCGTGAGAAAATTATAAATTAAAATTAACCAAGCATTACGTCAAACAAAAAAGATAACAAAACAACACTAAATTCAAACGCAGACCTAATAATTAAACAAAAAAAAAGTTTAATACATACTCCTTAAAGTCTCAAATTAGAAACAATTAAAAAGAGTCACACTTCATTCAAAACCGATTTCTTCTAATACCTGCATCCCACAATTCCATCGAGTATCTTTAAAACCAAAAACATCAGAAAAAATAAATGTTTAACAACACCTAAACACACAAATTAACATGTTCAATAATAAAAATATAACACAACCCGCGCGTAGCGCGGACAAACCACTAGTATGATATAAAACAAAGAAGTTTATAAAATTTTACAGTCCACATGATAACTAAATCATATACCATGATCTTGACCCGTTTTTGGTCATGGTATTACTATGTTTTTATAATAAATATCTATGTTTTGGAGTCTATTAGGTATGTTTTCAGGTTCAGGAACATTTTGTGGTAAAGTGATGATTTAGGTGCCTTTTGGTGCTTAAAGAAGAGTTTTCCAAGATGACTATGAAGATCTGACATAAGAAATACATATCGATCGATATACACCCTGTGTAATCGATCGATGACGCTTTCGTAGAAGTTGAAGTCGAGATACTCCATCGATCGATGTACACCATGTACCATCGATCGATACAGAGCATGATGAGCAAGATTTTTGGCCAACTTGAAGCCCAAGTTCTCACCAAATTACAAGATTGCCCCTGACGAGTTTTTTAACCTAATTGTACTTGTATTTATAGTTATGCCTATGAGCCCTAGACAATCAGAAATTAAGAGTTTTGTATTATATTCTATACTTAGCAATAAAAGCATTTTCTTTTCATCTTATTATTTTGCTATGAATCACTTGGCTATGTCTGAGTAGATTCATTTGTTAGATTTAGGGTTCAAATAGTTATGAGGGATTAGCCCCAACTATGGTATGTTGAATTGTTATATTCATTATCCAAATGAACCCTAATGCTTCTTCTAGATTAGCTACCTAGAAGTATGATTATGGAGTGACTAATCTAATAGTCATTATCCTGAAATCATTTGGCTAAGCTCAGACTCTATTAGGCACTTGCGATAGGCGGTCTAATAGATGTTCTCGGGTGGACACAGTTTCAATTCAATCCGATGTTATATCGATCGATACTCCCATAGAGTAATCGATCGACGGCAACGCATATCGATCGATACCGCGATAGCAACATCAATCGATATTGTCGGCAATCAGATCAATGGACGAGACTAACTAGCGACAGCTATAGATTTGTCTAAGGATTGAAGTCCTCATATATTTGCAAGCAATTCGTTAAGACATCCATAGATTTATAATCCTGATTTTCTGAATAGTAACCTTGAATCTAGCTATTTTCTCTTATTGTTTTAAAACCAATCTCCTCAGCAACTTACCATTGCTACCCATTTTTATTTTATTGTTTTAAACCTATTTCAACCTAGCTTAATCACTTAGGATTAATTCTTTTGTGACTCTAGNAGTAACCTTGAATCTAGCTATTTTCTCTTATTGTTTTAAAACCAATCTCCTCAGCAACTTACCATTGCTACCCATTTTTATTTTATTGTTTTAAACCTATTTCAACCTAGCTTAATCACTTAGGATTAATTCTTTTGTGACTCTAGTTCCCTGTGGATTCGATCCCTAAGTACTACGACTGAACCTCTTATTTGAGAGATTAATTCACTCCTTAGGGTTAAACATTTGAGTGATATCAAATTTGGCGCCGTTGCCGGGGAACTAAGATCACTATTAGATTTAATCTGATTCAGTCTAGGTTATTTGTTACTTTTTATTTTTCAATCTTTTAACACAAATTTTTTCTTTTTTCTTTTTTTCTCTTTCAGGTACATGCCCAGCAGTACCAGAAGCAACAAGAACGAGCAACTTTTGTACACAGAAGATCCCAACTACCTGGAACGTAGCATCCGCAAAGACATACGCTCCACATCGATCGATACCAACACCACTGTATCGACCGATACCCGCTTTCCACCGTCGACGAACAACCGTTTGTTGACCGATACCTTCACCACCTCATCAATCGACAACCTCTACTGTTCGTCGACCGATACGCGCTTTCCACCGACGACCAACCGTTCGTCAACCGATTCCCACACCACCACATCGATCGACAACAACAACCGTTCGTCGACCGATACCCTTCCCTTGACATCGATCGATACACCTCATCTTATATCGATCGATACTAACCGGCGAGACATGGTAGCGCCTATGATTCTCACACTTGGTGAGAATGGAGACCTGCGTGATCAAGATGGTCACCTGCGTAATGCATCAGGTCAGAAGCTGAATGATCAGAAGGAGATCATTACTGAAGAAGACACTGCACCTACAGGCATCATCCAACCTGTAGAAGAGACCAGAACCTTGGCTGATTTAAACCGTCTGGATCAGTTCTATTCCAACCGATCAGCCATCCGACAAATCCCTTTTTGTGGTTTGCCCCATGAGCATCCTATGGACCATCTGGAGAGGTTCGAGGATCTTGTAACCCTAGTTAAAGCAAAAGGAGTCCCTCAAGACTACCTTTTATGCAAGCTTTTCAAGTATTTTCTATCTGGAGAAGCTTGCAGTGGCTGAGACAACTACCACCAGGTTCCCTTACCACCTGGAGTGACATCAAACACGCCTTCCTTCATAATTTCTTTGATGATTCACGCGCTGAAGACTAGAGGAAGAAAATTGCTACATTCACCCAAGACCCTGAAGAGTCATACAAGGATACTTGGAACATATTCAAATCCTACCAGCGAGATTGCCCACACCACGGATTCAACAAAGTGCAACTGCTCTGCACTTTCTACAGAGGCATCAGCCCAGAATTCAAGAGAGCCCTTGATACAGCTAGTGATGGCAACTTCATCACCAGGAATCCGCAGAGTGCTATCAAGCTAATTGACAACTTAGCTACCAGCAATAGCACGAAGAACTCTGTGACGCAGACTACATCATCCATTGGAAAGGAGTACATCAATGAAGTTCAAGCTCAGCTAGACAATATTCAGAAGCTCCTAACCAAGCAGATCTGTTCAGTGGAAGATGCAGACCTTATTGAAGAAGATGTTAACTGCATCAGTGGAGCAGGTTTTCAGAGACCTAATAACCAAGGAGGATACAAAAACTTCACAGGCCAGAGAAGCAACTTCAACCAGAGTTCCCAGAAGCCAACAAACTTCAGCAGCAGCAACCCCAACAACAACAGAAGCTATGGAGGTACCTTCTACACCAACCCAAACCCACCCACCCAAGATTCTAAACTGGAGGAGTTGGTAGACAAGATACTTGAGAGTCAGCAGAAGCTAGAGGTTAACTTCAACGGAAAGATAGACTCTGTCTATAACACCTTCACCACGAAGATAGACGCCCTCAGCACCCATGTGAAGAAGCTAGAGACCCAGGTATTTCAGACAGGAGAAGCACTTAAGAAGCAGGAATTCACCCCTAACCAGAACATCAATGCCATCTTGGATGATGAATTCTGGCAAGAGGTAATAGAAGAGATTCAGAGATCTGAAGATGAGAGTGAAAGAGAATTCGCCTACGACTACTATCGATCGTTATCACCAGCTCAACATCGATCGATATCACCAGCTCAACATCGATCGATATCACCCTTAGTGCGTCGATAGATAGACTTTGGCGAGTGTCGATCGATAGACTCAGACGAAAACCCTCGCGAGTGCAACTCCGTCAAGATTATGTCTCACGCCGAATTCGCAGCACTTCACCCACATCCTCCCGTCCCTGTCATCGATCGACATGATGACCATGTCATCGATCGACATGAAGACCATGGTATCGACCGACACACTACAGCCAGTGTCGATCGATACAGAGTACCCCCACGCCGAGTGCAGCTTCCTAAGATTGATAGTGCAAGCCTTGACGCTTTCCGAGAGGAGTATTACACCACCAGAAGCCCTACAGTAGCCCTAAAAGAGAAACCCACGGATATCCTTGAGTCCATAGAGATAGAAAAGGAAACTCAGGGAAGAGTTCTCAGAAAAAGGAAAGAGAAGATACCTAAGCCTTATAAAAGAGAAGCTAATGAGAAGGAGTTGTCAAGCTTCAGAAAAAGAGTCCTCAGAATACCTAGAGAGAAACCCTTTGAAGAAGCCTACTTTTCACACAGATTGTGGATGTTCTTTAGAGAAACCAAGGAGACAGAAGAAGACATCAAGAGAATGTTTCACCAAGTCAGAGACAGTCAAAAGCAGAAGATAACACTAGAGAAGAAGAGTGATCCAGGGAAGTTCACAATACCTTGCTCCATTAAAGGTGTTGAGTTCCCACGTGCCCTATGTGACACAGGATCTGGAGTTAGCATCCTACCCAAGCTTATGGCAGACCATCTAGGTCTGAAGATAGAGCCTTCTGACGAGAATTTCATCTTTGTGGATTGTTCTCAACAAAGCTCTGGAGGCATAGTTCGAAACCTTGAGGTACAGATTGGAGAAACCCTAATTCCTACAGACTTCCATGTCCTCTCCAACAAGCTCACTTCACGACTTCTCTACTACTTGGAAGAGCATTCTTAGCCACAGTTGGAGCCGTTTGTGACCTACACACCAACAAGCTCTGCCTAACCCTTATCAACCCTTCCGTCCACTACAACCCTGTCCCAATCATCAAGTTTCCAAGGTTAGCAAGCTCAACACTCGTAGCCACCTGTTTCAGTGCCCACAAGTATGATTCTATGGGAGATTATGAAACCAAAGAAGCAGTATCGACCGATGACA